CAGATCCATTGTGTGTAAGTAAAATTTGAACAATGCTACTGAACTTACTTCAATCAAATCTAACATTTTCTAATCTACATAAATGGCCCTCACTCCTGGCATGCACTAGCACAAAAGTCAGGATTTACCACAATCATCTTGTGCAAATTGTACCCCAAAAAAGAATCAGTTGTGGAAAGAAAATCAAATCAAATCTGAAAACATTTTTAAAGAACAAACTGTTTGTCATATCAATAAAAAATGAAATAAAAATGTCTTACTTAATTTAAATTTGAAGGATTACATTTCTTCAAATTTTACCGGATTTGTAGTATTTATCATTTTTGGAATAAGCAAAAAGATTTAGTGAATAGCAGAGACTCTGTATAAATATGAATCCTGTTCCTGAACCCAAAACTTACAAATAAAATGAATATTGCCTCATTTTGTCACTGGTAATTTTGCAATTTTAAGTTTATCCCATGGACTGACCTAAGTGAACCAAGCTAAAAGCCATTCATGTCACACCTCAACTCCCCAATCCAATATCATCAATGGGGCCCCTGCCCCTAAACAATGCTATGTACAAATAGACATCATCTTTAGTCCATTCACAAATCACATTCACAAAACCCTCTCTATTATCTTACCACCTTTGACATAGAACCTGCCATCCAAAGGCTGTCACAAACATGCATATGCATTCAGTAATGATGGAATAATAATAATAAGGGTGTCCTCTTTTGTAACCACTCTAATACACTCTAAACATTTAATAAAAAGCCTTCTAACCCTAGTCAATACGTCAGTGCGCATTCCCACTAAATTTCTGGTAGAGTTGACATCTCAAACAGGTACAGAAATACCTAATGAGCATGTGGAACTTGATAATGTTGATAAACAAAATAACTGTGCACATGTTCTACAACCCTTTCGGAATTATATTAAAACAAACACCATCACAGCAATTATTCTTAGAATTTCGGGAAATACAAATTTATTGTAGGAAAGTACTCCAGAAGTCAGAAACTGAATCGAAAAAATCTCACAAGCAAAAAACAAAAAGACCAACCAGTTAGTGTGTATATTGTGATTGCTTTTTCACAAAGACAGAATACTTATGACTTTGCTTTTATATCCACAATTTGTTTTGTTTTTTAACAGGACATCCATATTTTTTTGGGTTAAAAACCTGAGGCCAATTATTTTTTCCAAGCTAGTTCTGGAATGATTTATTTTAAAAAATAAACAGTTATTACAAAGAATCCCCTGGATATCCTTGTTTTAAAAACACAATTGCCTAATCCACAGGAGTGATTCATCTGGGTCACATCCAGGGGACTCAAGCAAACATTTAGGGTCCCGAGGACCTGGGGCATGCTACGCTTGATGCCCAAACATGTCAGTGATGCCGGATTATTAAAAATACCAAGAAGCCTCAAGCCAATTATAGATACGGGTTTCAATGTCAAACTGAAGAAAATCATCCACCGACACTCTGAACTTTGGGTGTATAACATTCCAGAATAGAAACGTCAAACTATAATTACCTATATATACCTGAATAGGAGTGAGTGAGTGAGTGAGTGAGTTGGGTTTAATGCCGCTTTTAACAGTATTCCAGTTAAATCACGGCGTGTCAGCTTAATGTGGGAGGAAAGCCCAAAGTGATGCGAGTCTCAGACGATTACCACTTCGGTGAAACCCACGAGCACCCGTATGGTGCTGACAAACCTAGAAACATAATCGAAACAAACCGGGATTCGAACCCACAATCATAGGTTTCTGGGGTGCCCAAGGGATGCAACTCTGCGCAACTTGCGGCGCCTTAGACGACTGGGCCACCCGTGCCCCCCTGGATAGGAGGAACTGGTTAATGTAATTTTATAGGCTACTGCTGAGTACTGATCTTAAAATTAAAAATTATAAATATACCGAGGTACATTGCATTGCACAATATATATATGATATGGCATGATATATTTCTCAGAATTATTCTTCATAAATCGGGAAGGGATTGAAACATCAATTGATTATCAATGATACATTGAATGCCAACAATCCCCATCACACAGGACAATACAACATCAACAGCATGACAGCAGCTTTCCATACAATCTCATTAAAATCAGATATAAGTTCTCGCTACCGCTAAACAAAGATCTGAGAACATCCCATTACGGGTCACGTCAGACGACATTTCATCTGACCAAACAGAGCATCGCTTACCAGATCATGAAAGTGACAGTCGGAATGTGACTTCTAATCATGCAACCTCGAAAACTTTAACTTGGGGTATTCCGAACGATAGTTACGGGCTTAACTATTGAATCCATACAATATAGACCATCTATTAGCCATTCCAGAATGTTCTTTTGTTCAGGTTTCAAATTTTTAATTGAGAATTTGTTAAAAAATGTTTTAAAGCATAGTCGCAAATTTGAAATTTGTGCCGTAAAACACGAGGAAGCTGCCTTCTGATTGGCTAATGTCAACTTCTTGTCACTCATTCCATTGGTCGGTCAAAGTTCGTGCAAGGTCGGTCTTGTGTGACTTGTAATGGGGTGTTCTCAGATCTTTGTTTAGCGGTAGCGAAAACTAAGATCTGATTTTAATGAGATTGCTTTCTGCACAGCTTGGAAGGACTAACAAACATTGTATTTCAACAAGTTAAAAACATACATCGTTCCTAATATACATCTCCCCTAATACATATTCAGGGCTTTTATTCATAATGGGTCTGATCAAGAAGGCATACTGAATACCTTTAAGGTCTTTTATAAACCCATCACTGTCTACCCTATATTGAGCTAGGTTCCAGACAACCTCGGGTAAGCCAAGTAACCAGCACATCATCCAAACCAGGTTTTGAAGTGATCCTCTTCCATACCTGGATTTGGAAATGGGTCACTTCTAAACCTGTATTGAGGTTTTACATTTCAATTGTAAAACCTAGGATTTACAATTATCATTTTATAAACTTGTCTCTTGAACACAATTCTGTTTGATGATTGGTCAAAATTCACAAAAAAAATCACATGAAATTCCAAGATGTGAATCAAACCGGCAACCTCACATCCCGTGTTAAGTTAACCCACTGTTCCCCACTGAGCTACTGAGGCAGGTGATGAGAAGTTGTTAAATCTATCATGTCATGACTCCAGCCAGTCCATGCTGCATATTTTGTTCTATAGCACGCTTTGAGCGAATTCCTTTTATACCAAACACATTGTATTGATGCACGATAAGATATGTAAACGTTTTCTTATTTTTTCTGGTGTTTCTTGCATTTAGACAGTTCTAGAGTTGGATAAAACACACCTCCTCTGTTAGGGTGGAAATGTACAACCTTGAGCCTGCGCTTTTCCTTCATTTTACATTTTCAATAAAACCCTCTGTGGTGTGTTTTATCCTATACATAATTTGTGGGTTCAGAAGAAAAGCTATTGATAGTTGAGTCTGAAATACCTGGAAAACAATAGCGGTAAAAAACTCAACATTTTTCATGAGCTTACGACAGACCACCCAAACGTCACATCATCATCCGCAAAATTATATGACATGGTTACAATTTCAGCCAGAATATGGTACCCAAATTAATTTCATTGGTCCAGTGGTTTCAAAAGAGAAGATGTTCACGTTAATGATCCAGACACTGGATGAACCGCTCATGACACAAACACACTTAACCCTCAGTGAACTCAAAATTTAAAGGAACTAAGGTTCATCAATTCCAAAATTTTGATGATAAAAAATGCTGGTTAGATGTGAGGTATCAACCACCACGTCACAGTCTTCATACGTGAGCCATCATATGTTTGTAATTTCTGCTGGCATTTTTTTCAATTCTTCACATCGGAATGGAAATTTGATAAGTACACTGGCAAGACATCTTCCCGAGGCAAGAGAGTTAACTGACATTAAAAGTCTATTTTCCACCCTTGCCAAACTTGGCTGGAATTCCTGGGCTCTATCGTAGCGCCACCAGTGGCTATTATGAGTTATGTCCCTTCTACTTCAAACCAAATGGCGGCGCCCAGTCAAAACGATCTGATCGATAATCAAGATCTATATTGTGATAAAAGGGGTCTTACATCGCGAAGTGCATCAAATCATGTGAACACCTTGATTAAAAACAAGATTTGGAAAATATCTGTTGACGAGTTGGCGGTGCAAATGATTTGCAAATCCTGCAATCGACCGAAATCTGCACGACAGTTTACGAACCGGATTTCGATTTCGTTGCGCGATTGTGATTGGACTAGGCATAGACTCATTATTCCAGCCTAAATGTAACTCCATAATACCAGCCTAGTTCGGCAAGGGTGGAAACTGGACTTTTATAGTCAGTTAACTCACTTGCCTCGGGAAGATGCGGTAAGACTGCTCGGGTGACATTACAGTTCTCTGAACACAAACATACTTTGTGAGAGAACAGGGAAGAAGACATGGAGAAGATGCCATCCCCAAACAAATCAAGTCAAGTTCCGAATACTCTCTCCCATCACCAGGTACGACTCAAGAAAATGTACACAATATGAAGCAAAGGTCGGTCTAACACAGTCCCATACAGCAGAAAGCAAGACATGCACAAACACATATCTTGAGGTTCCGTTCACACACAAGTGGATTTCTAGGTGCAAGGTGCAATGTGTTAGATTCTGGCAGGTCATTATTTGGTATTTCTCCCACTGCAAAACTAAAACTGACAAGTCCACAGAATTCAGTAGCTTCATAAAAGATTGTCATCCTTATCACCAACTGAATGCAGAACCTCTTCATCTGGGGATGTTCAGAGTTCTTCCTGTTCTATATACACACATATATCTAATGAAGGTCATATGCGTGTCATATATTACACACATATATCTAATGAAGGTCATATGCGTGTCATATATTACACACATATATCTAATGAAGGTCATATGCGTGTCATATATTACACACATATATCTAATGAAGGTCATATGCGTGTCATATATTACACACATATATCTAATGAAGGTCATATGCGTGTCATATATTACACACATATATCTAATGAAGGGCACATCCATGTCATATATTACACACATATATCTAATGAAGGGCACATCCATGTCATATATTACACACATATTACAATTGAAGGTCATATGTGTGTCATATATTACACACATATTACAAATGAAGGTCATATGCGTGTCATATATTACACATATATTACAATTGAAGGTCATGCGTGTCATATATTACACACATATTATAATTCAAGGTCATATCCGTGTCATATATTACACACATGTATCTAATGAAGGTCACATCCGTGTCATATATTACACACATATTACAATTGAAGGTCATATGCGTGTCATATATTACACACATATTACAAATGAAGGTCATATGCATGTCATATATTACACACATATTACAAATGAAGGTCATGACCGTGTCATATATTACACACATATTACAAATGAAGGTCATATCCGTGTCATATATTACACACATGTATCTAATGAAGGTCACATCCGTGTCATATATTACACACATATTACAAATGAAGGTCATATGCGTGTCATATATTACACACATATTACAAATGAAGGTCATATGCATGTCATATATTACACACATATTACAAATGAAGGTCATATGCATGTCATATATTACACACATATTACAAATGAAGGTCATATGCGGGTCATATTTTACACACATATTACAAATGAAGGTCATATGCGGGTCATATATTACACACATATTACAAATGAAGGTCATATGCATGTCATATATTACACACATATTACAATTGAAGGTCATATGCGTGTCATTTATTACACACATATTACAAATGAAGGTCATATGCGTGTCATATATTACACACATATTACAAATGAAGGTCATGACCGTGTCATATATTACACACATATTACAATTGGAGGTCATATGCATGTCCTATATTATACACACATTACAATTGAAGGTCATATGCATGTCATATATTACACACATATTACAAATGAAGGTCATGACCGTGTCATATATTACACACATATTACAAATGAAGGTCATGACCATGTCATATATTACACACCTATTACAAATGAAGGTTTATATCATATATATCACACACATTTAACAATGATATTAATGTACTGATATGTTGTTGATTATGTTTCACACGCTGAGATTCCATCAGTGCCTGAACTTCCTCTCTTCGACACAACACCTTAACGCCATTTGCATTCCAGCTGATATATTCATGTCTTCCACTAGCTGACAGTACATTTCAGAAGTTACATCCCCATTATTGTCGATCAAGGGTGTGTTGGGTGTGCAGGACGTGTGTGGGTGTACGTGCGTTGTGTGCACTATCCTTTATTCAGTCCATCAGTGATATGTTTTTGTGCTCTTTGTGACTTTGACCCCCTTCAAATCACAGATCCACCTCTGGTGATCGTTCCTGTTCAAGCCTTGAGAATCACAAATGAGGATGCTATTCTGGTTACAACTGTTAGACAATGAAGCCCCAATTGAAAGGGTCTCGCGGATTGATCTGGTTGATGGACCTAGTGAATGGATCCAGTGGATGGATGCAGTGGACGCAGTACATGGCTAAGCATCATCTGACATGTGGGCTGCCTGGTATCTGTGCATGTTCCGACAATCATCAGCTACTCAGGGCAAGACGGGGCCAGAAGATGTCGGGACAAACATCCTGATCTGTTCAGCCAGGTATTGGACTATGTCCATGATCCAGGTGATTGTCAACTGCTGACCAGGGAAGGATCAAAGTATCTCAAGACAGACCTATTGTTGAGCTCACTCCAGTTCAGGTATTGGGACATTGTACACGTTTTATTGATTGTCAATTGTCAGAGCAAGAGGAGTCCAAATCCTGTACTGACAACCTAATCTTGACCAGAAGGCCATCAAAGCTTTCACAAAATCCTGTCACAACTGAAAATTCTGCTGCCCAGATCGTGTGAAATCTCTTCACAGTGTTTTCACTTACAACTTAATTATTTGACAAGTCATCCAATGTGACACATCTACAAACATTGCATACATGCAGATTACAGTTCAGTACACCCGACACCATCCAGTCATGTGTATCTATATCACAATCACCTTGAAACACACACAGTCTTCCAGCAGGGATCCCAGGGACTTCTCACATTGGAAATTTGTTAGTTCATGTAGGGCAACAGATGTCAGCTGTCAACGTATCATTGTTAACTCTGAAAAAACAAAATAGATATTATCTAAAACAGAATTAGAAACCCTTGGGTGTTTGTTGGATGAGTGGGTGAGTTGGCAGTATTTCAGTCATATCAGACGAGTGAGTGAGTGGGTGGGTGGGTGAGTGGGTGAGTGAGTGAGTGAGTGAGTGAGTGAGTGAGTGAGTGAGTGAGTGAGTGAGTGAGTGAGTGAGTGAGTGAGTGAGTGAGTGAGTCTCGTGAGTGAGTCTCGTGAGTGAGTGAGTGAGTGAGTAAGTGAGTCCACCCATGCGGAGAATTGAACCCGGGTCCTTGGCGTGACGTATTACCCAGTAAGCTACCTCACAGAATGTCACAATACAGTAGTATTCATATGTACTGCAACACCAAGTGTCACTATATATACTGCAATACTTTTCACACGTCGGATATAGAAAAGCACCAAATTTCAATCTTTTTGTCATCTCTAAAACTTGAAATACCTCTTAGTCTATTTCCATCCTGTTTTCTGCCCAAACTGTCTGCCACAATCCAATAATTGTACATTTAAATAGTTCATGTATGTATCCAATAATTTATGCCTATGGACACTGGTTGAGAATAAAACACATTCCTATGAGTATTAGCTCCTGAAATGAAGCTTCAGAGGTGCTTATTGTGATTTGTTTTGTTTGTTTGCTGTTTAACACCGCACTCAGCAATATTCCAGCTATATTTCATTAGTCTGTAAATAATCGAGTCTGGACCAGACAATCCAGTGATTGACATCATGAGCATCGATCCATACAATTGGGATATGATGACATGCATCAACCATGTCAGAGAGCCTGACCACCCGATCCTGTTAGTTGCCTCTTACGACAAGCATTGTTGCTCTTTACGTCAAACTTGGTTTGCTGAAGACCTATTCTACCCCCAGGTCTTCACAGGTCGCTATTGTGATTTAAAACCTCTGATTATCCAATCAGAATGGATCTGTCCCTCACCTTCATGATCTCCTTCTGGTTGACCTGGACGTACACCCACGTATACGTTGGCTTGTATTCCTTTTTCACGACTTCATACTTGAGGGAATTCAGTCCATCCTTCTTCGCCCTCTTGGATGCAGCATATAAGAGATTAAACCTGAAACAGGGCCGAGACAATGCACTCCCTTGAAAATGTAGGCCGCAACAATCAATCCAGTGTATTTAAGGACTGACTTTCACATTGTGTGAGTTTTTTTGTTTTTTTACTTTCTTCTCTTTTTTCTCTTTTATCATTTTTAAAAAGAATTGCCTGTTACATAAAATGTGCTTCCGCCCAGGGTAAAGCCCATGACATAAAGCACAACTTATCAGTACATCTTAGTTTGTTTTTTTACAGAAAATAACATACTTCTCACTCACATATTCACTCTAGTAATACAAACATACTGCATATATCAAGTGTGCATTAATATAATGAGCATCAATCAACGCAATTGGGATCGATGACATGTATCAACCAAGTCAGCGAGCCTGACCACCCGATCCCGTTAGTCGCCTTTAACGACAAGCATGGTCACCTTTTAAGGCAAGCATGGGTTGCTGAAGACCTACTCTACCCCTGGAATCTTCACAGGTCTGCGGTGCTGCGAGCTATTCTGCCACAGAATCCTCAATGGGAGACAATGTGGGGAAACCCATCAGCACAGGTATGGTGCTGATAAACCGAGAAGCAAAAACAGGACGAATAGGGATTCAAATCCACAATCAGATTTGTGGCATGCTGGTCGTACAAGTTGACTATATTTGGTGGTTTAAGCTCAGTGACTTGATAAATGCATGTCACTGTGCACTGACTGCCTGGGATATTGCTCATGACATCAATAACCGGTTTATCTGGGTCAGGCTGAATTACTTACTTACTTACTTACTTACTTACTTGGCTGTTAGGATTAAAAAAAATACAATAAAAGAATTGGGACTCCTGCAAATATATTTTTTTGCTTGTTCAAACTAGTACGTAACCAAATATACAGTTGTGTACCATCAACCTGGGAAAGGGCCCCCTACATTAATAAGCATGCAAACTCCTATTGCCGCCATGACAACAACGCGAGATGGGCAGTAAAGGGAGGTAACTTGTGCTATATTGAATCGCATTGTTTTAAACTATTAGGATTTTTAAAAATTTAAAACGGAAATAAAAAACGAAACGCAGACATTTCAATGAGCAGGCGATGCCCGAGAACCCAAACTATTATTTTTACTAGTCTTATCTTACAGCTGTATTCCAGTAGCTTGCTAAAACACATACATCAGCACTCACCTCTGTTTGTTCACTTCATTGGCTTTGTCCCGGCCATGTTTTATCATCTTATATCGAGCTAATTCTATTGGTGCTCGACTCAACTTTAAACCACTCAACTGTATTCTGAAAAAGAAAAAAAATACATTTACATACGATATCCGATTTCACCAAAGTTTGATGGTTTACTCATGTACGACACCTCCATAACCGTTCTTAATAACGGAGGCGTAGGTTCTTGAGCCAATCAGATATCTGCAGTCCATGATTATTCCGTTTCATTTCTTCCTCGATTCGGAAATTCCAATTTGAGGTTTTAACATAAGAACCACAATACAATAAAAAAATGAAAAAATATATTCAGAATTTATTCTCTTTCTTTTCTATCCCACCAATAAGCTGATAGCATATAGCATCCAATGTTTTTGTCTAAACAGGGGCCCACTGAAGAGCACATATATTGACCATGGGAGTCAAAATAAAGTTTGTTGATGGCGTTCCTGAAATTTGTAGGATGCATAGATGCCGTAGTATTCCTGCTTGATTCATCAGGTTTGCATTACTATAGCAACAGCTGTGTTGAAGGTTGTCCTGCCACATTAAACTAATTTTTCATTTTATACCAGCTGACCTGTAGTGGAGGAGAAAATGTTTCCATTAAAAAATTTGTGAAACAAGTAAAACACACCGTGTGGCCTAAGTGTGACATGTGTGGCCTAAGTGTGACATGTGTGGCCTAAGCGTGATGTGTGGCCTAAGCATGAAATCTTTGGCCTAAGCGTGACATGTGTGGCCTAAGCGTGACATATGTGGCCTTAGCGTGACATGTGTGGCCTAATTGTGACATGTGTGGCCTAAGCGTGATGTGTGGCATAAGCATGACATGTGTGGCCAAAGCATGACATGTGTGGCCTAAGCATGACATGTGTGGCCAAAGCATGACGTGTGTGGCCTAAGTGTGACATGTGTGGCCTAAATGTGATATGTGTGGCCAAAGCATGACGTGTGTGGCCTAATTGTGACGTGTGTGGCCTAATTGTGACATGTGTGGCCTAATTGTGACATGTGTGGCCTAAGCGTGATGTGTGGCATAAGCGTGACGTGTGGCCTAAGCATGACATGTGTGGCCTGAGCATGACGTGTGTGGCCTAAGCATGACGTGTGTGGCCTAAGCGTGACGTGTGTGGCCTATACGTGACTTCTATGGCCTAAGCGTGACGTGTGTGGTCTAAGCATGACATGTATGGCCTAAGTGTGACGTGTGTGGTCTAAGCATGACGTGTGTGGCCTAAGCATGACATAAGTGGCCTAAGTGTGACATGTGTGGCCAAAGCATGACATGTGTGGCCTAAGCATGACATGTGAGGCCTAAGCGTGACGTGTGTGGCCTATACGTGACGTGTATGGCCTAAGCGTGACATGTATGGCCTAAGCGTGACGTGTGTGGTCTAAGCATGACATGTATGGCCTAAGCGTGACGTGTGTGGTCTAAGCATGACATGTATGGCCTAAGCGTGACGTGTGTGGTCTAAGCGTGACGTGTGTTGCCTAAGCATGACGTGTGGCCTAAGCATGACTTTTGTGGCCTAAGTGTGACATGTATGGCCTAAGCGTGACGTGTGTGGTCTAAGCATGACATGTATGGCCTAAGCGTGATGTTTGTGGTCTAAGCGTGACGTGTGCGGCCTAAGCATGACGTGTGGCCAAAGCATGTGTGTGGCCTAAGCATGACTTGTGTGGTCTAAGCGTGACATGTGTGGCCTAAGCATGACTTGTGTGGCCTAAGCATGACTTGTGTGGCCTAAGTGTGATATGTGTGGCCTAAGCATGACTTGTGTGGCCTAAGCATGTCCTGTGCACGGTTCGGGATTTTTACATCCCTGCAAGCTGTTTCTCCAGGCCTGATCAATGACCAACATACCTTTTCATCATGTCATCATCCTCGCCACCCCAGCCGAAGTATTTATTTGAGAATCCATTGACTTTGATCATGTGCTCCTTGGTCAAGGCTGACACGCCTCCAAAGATGGCAGCATATGGCAATCTGTGGAAGTTGGAGAACCAGCTAATGATTATTCATGGTAAGGGGATACTGATTCATAAATTTGCTTATAGATCCACCAACCCCTTAAAAAAATGGAAGAAGATATTTTTTTAAAAGTCATCATTTTTTAACACTTACAAGTTTACTTCAAAAGAACAGTGCATCCAACAAGTTGACTAACGAGCTCAGATACTTTATGTAGAAAACTTTATTAGTTACATGGAATATGTCAATATGTTACAATATGTTTTTATAAACTACATACAATAAGTTAGTTTTACAATATGTGTTTATAAGCTACATCATGTACATACAATGTGTCAATATTACTATATGTGTTTATAAGCTACATACAAAGTGTCAATATTACATTATGTGTTAATAAGCTACATACAATGTGTCAATATTACAATATGTGTTTATAAGCCACATACAATGTGTCAATATTACAATATGTGTTTATAAGCCACATACAAAGTGTCAATATTACAATATGTGTTTATAAGCCACATACAATGTGTCAATATTACATTATGTGTTTATAAGCCACATACAATGTGTCAATATTACATTATGTGTTTATAAGCTACATACAATGTGTCAATATTACATTATGTGTTTATAAGCCACATACAATGTGTCAATATTACATTATGTGTTTATAAGCCACATACAATGTGTCAATATTACTATATGTGTTTATAAGCTATATTCAATCAAGCTTAATCAATCAGTTGATTCAGTTAATGCAAACAGGCAGTGGCAAGAGTATTTGAGTAGAGATATATGATTAATGGTTGATCCATCACCATTGATTGTGCTGATTCGCCGCGATTGTTTTGATTCACTGCTGATTGCGTTAAGCCAGTTGTAAGTGACACTTGACACTGAGAGAGATTTCTCAGTTCGCTATACACGTCACTAAATAGGGGTATTTGGACTTGTCAGGAATCATATATCCGTTCGCGATATCCGTTAGATCGCTGTAGAGAGTTCGTTATATACATAAATTTTATATGATATTACCGGTATATAGGAGATAAATCGGGGATTTTTTAACAGTTCATTGAACCGTTTGTTCACTCTATCCATGTTCAGTATATCTATGTTCTACTAAATGACTTATTATCTAGCCTCAGTGACACGACATTAACGTTAGCAGATTGATCACAAGTATTCTAGTTGGGACACTTACATTCCAAAAGGCACGCTGAAACATCTTCATGAGTGTCCTGTGACACGTGTGAGGTGAAATGAGGTTCAAGGTTATTGCACCTATATAGCGTGTGTGTGTGTGTGCGTGTGTGTGTGTGTGTGTGTGTGTGCGTGTGTGTGCGTGTGTGTGTGTGTGCGTGTGTGTGTGTGTGCGTGTGTGTGTGTGTGCGTGTGCGGCGTGCGTGCGTGAGAGAACCATAACATGGTCTAAGTCACTTAGAAATTATTTAAAGCTGTGGATTCCGTAAGTAGAATCAACAAGCGCAAATGGGTTCCAGTGATTTCTCCATCACAGAAAGATGCTCACAGTCGCCATAATACCTTCAAATGAGAGCACTGCGGATGGAAGCTATCTCTAGAAATTAATGTGAAAACGTGAAATAGTCAGCAATGTAATCTGAAAATAAATCTTATTTAACTAGCAAGTGTTATAATCTAACAGGGATGTGTCCAGCTTGGAAGTCAAAGGCTTCACTCTTCCTGCAAAAGGCTCAGAGTAGATTCACAAATGTAATACAGAGTTTCACAAAGTGCATGGGGAGCAAGTATGTGACCTACGTTAAAATTTTCCCCAAATGTCTTCTGTGTCGTAAATCTACATTACCTCAAACTGTGAGTGCTCTCAGTAGCTGTCAAATCAGCATTTTCACACATAACTGGACCAATGTTAAACACTCGCAAACAGTAAAGAGAAAAATGCCAGCTACTGGTATTATGACATTTTTCACAAATTTTTAAAGAAGTTTTTCATGTTTGCTCCAAATCAAAGATTTATTCAAAAAATAATTCAGAATCTTGATTTCCTAGGAAATGAAAGTACTGACTTGTAATTAAACTTGTCGATGGCCACCGACATGTGGCGTGGGTTCTCCGGACACGTGTACAGGTTCCTGTCGTTCTCCGGGATGAGGTCCACGTCGTGGAAGATGAAGCACTGGAAGTCGTAGTCCTTCAATGCCTCTGTGTAGCCGATGTTCATCAGGATGGCTCTGTTGAAGGTCGTGGGCATGGCCTGTGAAGACAAGGAGTGAGTTGGTTTCTATCCTACTTTTACAGTATTACAGTTCTAACATGGTGTGTTAGCTGCAGAAGAAAAGCCTGAAGTGATTTGACCCCTAGCCATAAATGCGATTCAATATCAATGCGACTCCCCCACCCCATCCCCAGTGAAATGATACATATCCTACCTTAATCCAATCAAACAGCAAATAGTCCCGCTTAGTAGAGTATATAAATACACAGTTTATATGTTGACTGGCATTAAGGAAGTTCAAAGGCAATAAAATAATTAAACTAACAACAGTTCACTGATTAGTATGAGGAGAAGGTTGTCAACAAGTTTGACACGTACGAGTTGGTAGAACACTTGACGCCAGCAGTGATAACTCACCGGATGCCCATTGTGTAATTCCTATTCTTTGAATGGCATTTGTATGTACTTGTTACAACTGCTGCTCAATAAACTGTGTTTGTGTTTATTTTCAAGTTGGTATTTCTGCTATCCAAAGTTTGTTTTGTTTGGTTTGCTTGTTGTTTAACACTCAGCAATATTCCAGCTGTATGACAATCCAGTGATTCACGTTATGAGCATCGATCCACACAATTGGGATACGATGACATGCATCAATCAAGTCAGCAAGTCTGGCCACCCGATTCCGTTAGTCGCCTCTTACGACAAGCATAGTTGCCTTTTACTGCTATCCACAGTGTGCAGTGAGGCCGTCTTATTGTTGACAGTCATTTGGAGACATCAATGCGAAGTTAATTACAGCGAGCAAAGACCACTCATATTTTTCGCATTTAATTCACTTTGCATTAATTTCAAGATTTACAGTTTATTCCCCGAAACATGTTCCTCATAATAAAGAAATTGACATCCATAAAATTATTTTCCTTAAGTGTATTAGACGACTAAGTAATCGTTTGTAAAAGTCTGGTAAGGTAAATGGGTAAAAACAGAGTATCAACTGACTTCTCATGAACTCAACTATGCCTTATTTTGGCAATCACTCAGTTCAATTCAAAACAGAACAAGTTCCTGTTACCCCAGGGTACAGCTCTCAGTGACTGCCTCTGTTACCCCAGGGTACAGCTCTCAGTGACTGCCTCTGTTACCCCAGGGTACAGCTCTCAGTGACTGCCTCAGGCAGCAGTCAGTCCATTAGACGGGCAGCAGTCAGTCCATTAGACGTGAGCATCTGCTGGGCCTCAAGCCAACTCCACTCTTTACAAGATAACATTCATTAAAGATACACAGGCCTACTGCTTCCCTCTGGGGCAAGACACTGCAACTTGATCTTCATAGAGATGTAGATATGATGTCTAAGGCAGGTAAAGTACTGGCTGGTTTCTGTGTTGAAATGTCTCATTGTTCTCATGGTTGTAGCTGCAGGCTGTGGAGCCTTTCAATCTTAGTCTGATATGACCATATACCTCCAGTGGGAGAAATGAAGACTGCCAGTCAAGAAGATGTTATCATAACACAACCATATACCTTCAGTGGGAGAAATGAAGACTGCTAATCAAGGAGATGCTATCATAACACAAATGGTTCAAATTGAAGGTTTAGTGGTGCCGAGATTCAAACAGCAACAAACCTCAAGGACCACCCTAGTTTCCAGTGTTATTTTCACAGGATCTGGTACAGGATCATACTGACTCCTGTCACAGAACTGAAGCCATCTAGGAAGGCAGGACTCATGTGCGTCCCACTAACATGGGAATTTATCTGTTCCTGATATTTTTTGAAAGTGAAAAAAACAATATTTTCAACAAAAATTCCACACACTCATATTTTCAGTGTTCTATTCCTGATCTCAGAATATCTGATTCCTGACAGTTTGTGAATATTGCAAATTTCTGGGAATTTGTTTAAGCGCTTATCATGTATATTACTTGACTTACAAAAATATCAGCAATGCGTAAAAAACAGTTTCAGTGTTAAGCTTTAGGCTTTACCACCAAGTCTGATGTTTCCTCGGACAAGTGACACCTCATAGGCCAATGCTTGTTCAAAGGGTAAGATGTAGCAGTGACAAAAACTATACCATACCACACCATTACATTAATGACAGATTAACTCTAGTGATATGTTTGTTTGTTTGTTTGTTTAACGCCGCACTCAGCAATATTCCATCTATATGACGTCAGTCTGATAATAATCAAGTCTGGACAAGACAATCCAGTGATTGATATATTGTGCATCGATCAACGCATTTGGGATATGATGACATTCATCAACCTAGTCAGAGAGCCTGACCACCCGATCCTGTTAGTCACCTTACGACAAGAATAGTTGCCTTTTACGGCAAGCATAGGTTGCTGAAGACCTTTCCCCCCCCCCGGATCTTCATGGGTATCTAGTAATATAAAAGAATCAGTTGTTCTTTAACTTCTGATGATGACTAGCAGGTACAGTCAGTGGGGAGTCTTGTTCCTATGTAAACAGAATAACAAATTATTTGCACCAAGGCATCCTTTATCAGCATGTAACTTCAGACCACCTTGATGAAGTTGAATCACTACTTTTGTGTCTATTCAAGCATCCAGATGTTTGAACAGGACAGAGAAGGGTTTACAGTTTACCTTGCGGCAAACCCTTCTGATTCTCTATAAGCTTCTTGCAACCAGGAGAGGATAGGATTCCCACGCTGTTTTGTGACTTGCTTAAACTAAGGGGAATCTTGGCATCTTCAAGGGCTGCTGCAATAATAGTTATGTTTAGCTACCCACTAAATCATTTTTTTACATTAGATTTATAAGGGTCACAAGACTTTCATGTCTATTTTCAAACACTGTGGCTGCTGTTGTGTGATAAACTGTGGCTCCTGTTCTGTGATACTAAAAGTTGTCAACTGATCTTGAGGGTACATATGCTGACACACAGGGTACATCTTGAGGGTACATATGCTCACACACAGGGTACATCTTGAGGGTACATATGCTTACACACAGGGTACATCTTGAGGGTACATATGCTCACACACAAGGTACATCTTGAGAGTACATATGCTCACACACAGGGTACATCTTGAGGGTACATATGATCACACACAAGGTACATCTTGAGGGTACATATGCTCACACACAGGGTACATCTTTAGGGTACATATGCTCACACACAAGGTACATCTTGAGGGTACATATGCTCACACACAGGGTACATGTGAGTGAGTGAGTGAGTGAATGAGTGAGTGGATGGGTGGATGAGTGAGAAATGGGCTCCAAACATTGTACCCATGTGCTGAATCGGCGTGAGGAGTGAACGCTTTAACTTCTAGACTACCCCACCGCCCCAGACATGAAAGAACCTACCAGAGGCCAAAGACATGAAAGGATCTCCCAGAGACTGAAGACATGAAAGGACCTACCAGAGACTGAAGACATGAAAGGACCTACCAGAGACTGAAGACATGAAAGGAACTACAAGACACTGAAGACATGTAAGAATCTCCCAGAGACTGAAGACATGAAGGATCTCCCAGAGACTGAAGACATGAAGGACCTACCAGAGACGGATGACATGTAAGGACCTACAAGAGACTGAAGACATGAAAGGACCTACCAGAGACTGAAGACATGAAAGGACCTACCATGGACTGAAGACATGAAAGGACCTACCAGAGACTGAAGACATGAAGGGACCTACCATGGACTGAAGACATGAAGGGACCTACCATGGACTGATGACATGAAAGGACCTACCATGGACTGAAGACATGAAAGGACCTACCACGGACCGAAGACATGAAAGGACCTACCATGGACTGAAGACATGAAAGGACCTACCATGGACTGAAGACATGAAAGGACCTACCATGGACCGAAGACATGAAAGGACCTACCATGGACTGAAGACATGAAAGGACCTACCATGGACCGAAGACATGAAAGGACCTACCATGGACCGAAGACATGAAAGGACCTACCAGGGACTGAAGACATGAAAGGACCTACCATGGACTGAAGACATGAAAGGACCTACCATGGACTGAAGACATGAAAGGACCTACCATGGACTGAAGACATGAAAGGACCTACCATGGACTGAAGACATGAAAGGACCTACCATGGACTGAAGACATGTAAGGACCTACCAGGGACCGAAGACATGAAAGGACCTACCAGGGACCGAAGACATGAAAGGACCTACCAGGGACCGAAGACATGAAAGTACCTACCATTTCTGTGATATAGATTGCATAGTCCAGCTGCTGTCTCTCCAGTACGGGGTGCAGATTGTTGAGCAGAATTTTCAGTTGATCTTCCCTGTTTCTGTAGGGGACAATGATGGCTACACGATGCCGTGACTTGCAATCCGGGGGCTTATATCGGCCTCCAGCCTGAAGCTCTGGGTATTTCTTCTGCATCTCCTCAAAGGATAGAACCTCCTTATAGGTTGCTAGTGCCCCCACTGAAACATCACACACATCATACTGAGGTATATATCAAAACACAAAACTTATGTAAACCTAAACACATTCAACAACAGTAAATATTCATGTCTTGAAACAGTTTATCTTAAATTGTACAGTTTCATAGACATCTTGTCAGTTCTCTCCAGCAGAGCCTTCACCTAAAGTGAATGAATAGTACTTTCATCCACCACCCAAGGCAAAACAAGCATGAAACACTCATATCCCCCGCTAATATGACATGTCCGGTTGTGTGGAGCACTACCGTCATTTTCAGTCGAAGTCAAAATCGTTGCCATGGAAACACGAAAAATATTTTGTTTAAAATCCCTAACTATCAAAAGGCACCAGTTCACCACTAGACCTATCAATGTGCAAAGTTTGCTTAAGATATCTCTCATGTTTGTTTTTACACAAAACAAGATGGAAGGACAGACGGGTAGCACCCATTCCTATATCTCCCTTTCATTTCGTGGTGGGGGATAGTTAACCCAAAAGGTGAGGTGAAATTTGGTTTAACGTCGTGTCCAAGATTATTGCACTTATATAGCAACGTGCATGCACGTGTGTGTATGTGTGTGTGTGGCTGCTTGTACTAGTCCGGACTGATGCCGATTTATAGTGCTAGCTCACTGAGATACCATGCCGCAGTTTAACATGAATACCCCACTCAGACACAGTATACTGACTCCGAAGCAACCAGTCCTTGTTTTAGCCCCTTAATGCCGAGCGCCAGACAGGGTAAAAACAAGTACTGTCTTTTAATGTCTTTTGGTATGACGCGGCCAGGGTTTCGAACCCCAGACCTTCCGCTCTCCGGGCGGACGCTCTACCACAAGACCACGGAGGCGGCTGTTAACCCTAAAGAGATGGGTCTGTATAGCACCCAAGAAAATACCTTCGGTCAGAGTAAGATGTCATCATCTTTTTACCACCTGCACCAGGTGCAACCAACAGTGAATTAGTCAGGTTGCACCACCAAAATATTGGCTGCACCATGTTATCATGAACTGAAATACTGTATTTTCAGTTATTTTGAATAGTAAATATATTAAATGACAAAATAAAGTTTTCTTTCATTTAATGGATAGTGTTTTCAATGGATAAACCAATCCGATAAACTGGGAATCCAATCTGCTAAATATGCAAACAAGGCCATCTGGCAGGAACTTCTTATAGTAAGCCGTATACAAAAGACCTTTGCATAACATTACCAAAAGGATTCAGGACAGAGGTTTCCCATTGTTAGAATGTTCAGACATGTGACTAAAGTACTCATGGAAATGAAAAAAAACTGTTTTGCTGGATTTAATAATCGACACAAAGCATTACGTAGATGTAAATACGAAATAACAAAACAACTGGAAAGTACTAGTCTTGATTTGCTAGTTTTATCTCAGTGCTCAATACAAAATGTACGTTACAGGAGGTAATTTGTAGGCACTTTCAACATTCAAAAATAAAACTAAGTCCAAATTGACATGGCAGAAACAGGCTATAGGCATTATGCAAATCAGCCTGGTAAAAAGTTATCAAAACAACAATAAAAATAACAGCTATTTTCATGTACATAATAATAATGACATGTAAGTTTTTGTTTGAGAAGGGAATATGTTACTTTTACGCTCTGATATCTTGACGATGATTCACTATCCCACAATGCCAATCACAAATCACTAACCACTGACAAATCACATGCACATGGGTTTCAAGCACCTGTTTTCTCCTGTCGTCAAGGTGTCATAGGTCATGGACATTCACCTTGATCTACTAACACCTGGTTATGCTCAGTTTCAAAATAGTCTGTTTTGTTGATATTTTTACACACTTTTACGTGTAAAAAGACATAAAAACCTTTGATACGCTGTATTTGTGCCAAGGCCCAATTAGTACTAATTGAGTTGTTTGAATATTTATATATTTTTTATATAAGCTGCATTTATTTAAAATCTGAGATCGAAAAAAGTTTTTTTTCATTTCCGTGAGTACTTAAGTGCACTTGGTAGACAAATTGGGAAAAAAACGAATAACGAAATTTGTCCAAATTTGGGATTTTCTTTAAGTTCTTATGCACACATGTGCGTGCGTGTGTGCGTGCGTGTGTGCGTACGGGTATGTGCATGTATGAGCACACCAAGATACAATGCCGCAGTTTAACATGAATACCCCACTCAGACACAGTATACTGACTCTGAGCAGACCAGTCCTTGTTTTAGCCCCTTAATGCCGAGCGCCAGACACCATGGTCTGCAAAGCAATAACATCAGTTCAGACTATAATCATGGTCTTAACATGACGATGCTTTCATTCTAATTTGTGAAGTTTTATTGATATTTGTTTTAGATTTGGGGCTGAATATCAGCCACCGAGCAGGTCGAGATAAATCCCTGGATTATTTAAATCATTTGGTGGCAGTTCACTATGGCACTGTACTTCTATGCTCTAAGTTACTTTAGCAGCTGTTGAGTGAATGAAAATATGTCTTAAAGTTATTATTTTAAGAATGACATTATCTGATGATTTATTATTACCCTCATGGTTTCCATACCCCAAATATCACATCATAGGAACACAAAATATGTATTATATACGGTTCAAGTCTTATCCTATTTATCAGGCCTACAGATAAGCAGTGTATTTGCGTACACCCCCTCCAAAAAAATCTTTGTCAGTGTCAGCTTAATGTGGGAGGAAAGCCCCAAGTGATGCAGGTCTCAGACGTTTACCACTTCGGTGAAACACATGAGCACGGGTATCGTGCTGATAAACCTAGAAACATAATCAGGGCGAACCGGGATTCGAACCCACAATCATAGGTTTCTGGCGTGCCAAAGGGACGCAACTCTGCACAGCGGATCGCGGCGCCCTAGACGACTGGGCCATCCGTGCCCCCAGTTGAAACAAGACGTACCACTGAGTACAACTAGCAGCAGATGCCAGGGTTCGTGGACCATTATTAAATCTCAGTGTAAATCTCACGGTCTACAAGAAGACTAAATAATTGTCAGTCTAAGTCTTGCATGGCATAACAGGGCATTTTTTAAGCCACTGAGTATGCTCTCACAAGTTATAAATAATACTGGTTTTTCATCGTTTTCTTTGGGTAGTCAATATATTTTTCCTCTCTTGTGTCCCATCTATTGGGTGTTTTTTCACTAAGTTTTATTCATTTTATTAAGTAATTCTGCTTGAAGTGCTGTCTCAGATAACCTCTAATTGGTATCTGTTCATATCCTGCCCCAAGTGTATAACATGCGTGACAAACTCACGACAGCAACATGCATGATATGTGCAAGGTGCAGTGCATTATCATGCATTATTCACCACAGCAGAGCTCATGTATGTGTGTTGCATACAAGGATCTATACAAAAATATAGACATAAGCTGAAAAGTGTTGTTATTCTGTTTGTGACATGTTTCATGTGTAATTTGAGCACAAGCATCTCATAATTAATTGGGTAGTGGTGATGTATTCCGTGTATTTTCCGCTATTACACAGCTTACCTGAAGCTCGGCCATATAAAAGGAACACAGAATCAGCTGACTTCAGATTACGAGGGACCTACTCAAACCTAGGTCCCCAGCAATCTATTTGTCCCTCCCTAATCATCTAATGGTCTGGCTGGAAGCTGCTTTAAACCATGCTGCCCTGAACATGGTTACCTGGATCGATTGCTTGTGTCAATAATTTACAATGTCCCTTTCTGTGAGACAAGCCTGGCACACAGTTTATTGTTCATATTCAGTTTCAAGGGATGAGTGAGTGAGTGAGTGAGTGAGTGAGTGAGTGAGTGAGTGAGTGAGTGAGTGAGTGAGTGAGTGAGTGAGTGAGCCATCGACCTTCTGCTCTTCGGGCAGACACTCTATCCACAAGACAGCTGAGTGAGTGAGTGAGTGAGTGAGTGAGTGAGTGAGTGAGCAACCGAGCAAACAAGCCTTTGGTTTACCGCCAATTTTAACATTTAGTCAGTAATTCCACAGCATGTCAGCTTGATGTTGGAGCAAGCCCAAAGAGTGAGTGAGTGAGTATGGTTTTACGCCGCTTTTAGCAATATTCCAGCAATATCATGGCGGGGGACACCAGAAATGGGCTTCACACATTGTACCCATGTCGGGAATCGAACCTGGGTCTTCGGGGTAATGAGCGAACACTTTAACCACTAGGCTACCCAACCGCCCCCGCAAGCCTAAAGAAATGCAGGTCACAGAAGTTTACCCCTGTGGTTTAACCCACAAGTACAGGTATCATGCTGACAAACCTAGTAACATAATCAGGTCAGATCGACCTTGCGCAAACTTTGACTGACCAATGAAATGACCAGTCAGAAGGCAGCTTTCTCGTGCTTTACGGCACTAATTTCAAATTGGCGACTACGCTTCGCAACATATCTTGACAAATTCTCAAATACAAATTTGAAACCTAAACAAAAGAACATTCTGGAATGGCTAATAGATGGTTAAGATTGTATGGATTCAGTCGTTAAACCCGTAACTATCGTTTGGAATACCCCGTGTTAAAAGATTTGAGGTTGTATGATTAGAAATCACATTCCGACTGTCACTTTCATGATCTGGTAAGCGACGCTCTGAGTCATCGGATGAAAGGTCGTTCTGACGTGACCCCTAACGGGATGTCTTCAGATCTTTGTTCAGCGGAAGCGAGAACTAAGGTCTGATTTTAATGAGATTGGGACGAATTGGGCAGTGCAGTGGGACACAGTTCTTATATGACTTGAAAGAAGTTAAAGAACATCCTTTTACTATATGACTATACTTAATCTTTTGAGAAGTTTATGCAATGACAGAAGTTGAAGAACACCCTTTTTCTAAGTCTATAGTCAAACTGTGGTGGCCATGTACACTGAACAGCAGTATATAGGCCAAGTGGCAACAACGTCTTCTTCCTAACCAACATTCACCAAGAACTTCCCATTGTCCATATGTAAGTTTTCTTTCTCTCAAAACATACAAGGATGAAGGCCATTGTTCATCAGCTTA